CTGTATATTTTCACATTTCTCAAAGCTCATGTTGGATCTGTCTTGAAAGCTTTAATTTTGGGGAAAATTGGTAAAATAAATGGTTTTTACATCTGGACCCCGACTGTTGTGGTCTATTATAACCAACAGCACTGAGACGCAGAATACATTAGGCTTGCTGTGTGTGTGTTTGCATGCATGTTGGCCTGTTTATTTGTCTATTTGCACATGTGTGTCTCCTAGATATTTTTTGATGAGTGCAGCTAGCCTGGATTCACATATCGCAGCATGCATTTTCAAGGCGTTCATTCACAAAGCCAGAAAATGGTCCATCCACTCGCAGACCTGATGAATAAGTCTGAGAGTGTCATTATGGCGCAATTGCGGTCTGTTCGGTAGCCATTAGATGAACGTGGAAGTACAGCACAGCCTGAGATTGGCATCATTATCAGAGCCGTGAGAGGAAATGACACGCTGCAGATGAGACGATTGTGGTTTGCGTTTACATTCATAATAATTTACATAACAGACGTTTGCTTGCCAAAGCGACTTACACAGCAGTCTGGGCTTTAGAGCATATTTTCACTACTTGTTCATAGCATTAAAGTAACAAATTTTCTTCTTTTTAAAATAAGAGTTTAAGAACTTCCTCAAAACTTCCTCCTCAGTCCAAAAAAAAAAACATTGATTGAAATTAAACAGCAGATACATCTTATTTACTCTGACACGGTGACATTTACATGTCAATGATGTCCACATGATAATCAGACACTTCCATCCAGACACAACGAGATTAAAAAGGAGGAAGTAAAATGATGACCATTATTCCTAAAAAGATTTTGTCTGATAGTTTTATGACAATTTATGACAATTATGTAGAATTTGATGCATAAAAGTGGGCATTTGAAATCACTGCAAAACTTTTTAAAGTAATATTTCAGAGAGAGGGTGCAAAATGATTGTTTAATAGTTGAATAGTTTTTCTATTCACCTCAATGTTTTTCTCAAAACAGTGTTCACATCTCTGAACAATTAGTTTCTTGTTCAAACCAGATTTGAATTTCTTATTAATTAAAGCAAATTGCACATTTTGGCCCATTTGTGCAAAAGGGCAAGTACATTTCTTAAGTAAGTATCTTTCTACAATTTGCACAATTCTGAAGCATGAATTCCAGTTTTTCCTCAAATGATTGGGCTTATTTTTTGAAACTGTTTAAACAACAAACTTTAAGTTCAATTGTCAACTGTGTTATGGGACATCACAACTCTATTTAGGGCTGAACGATTTTGGAAAAGAATCTAATTGCGATTTTTTTTTACGAATATTGCGATTGCGATTTAATATGCAATTATTTTTTAAAGCACTTTATGTTCTGTATTATTCAACAAAGACAAGCTATAAATCATTGTATAGTATGACCAACACACTATTAGATAGATTAAACATAAATGTTCTTTTCTGTAGGCCAGGCCTATATGTTACGATGAAATTAGGTGATGCATGAATTGATATGAATTACATTTTTATTTAACAACTACAATCACAGTATATTGACTGATTTGTTGAACTTCCAACCTTGTAAGCATGTAATAATTATGACTACATAAAGCACTGACAAATAAGCCTGGTGTAAACCAGGCTTTCATTAATATGAAAGTCAGTAACAAATCACACAAACTAAAGTATATTGCAGAAATATAAAAACTAATCTGTTGCTTTACCACACTACTTTAGGTAATTCAAAGTCACTGTAATAAACATATGTAAACA